GGATAAATGTACGTATGTAAATCGGAAATCGAAAAACACATTGATGCATGGCGGGATTCGAACCTAAGATCTGCAGATTGCAAGTCAAGTACTTGAACCCTCAGCCACCGACGCTATAAATAGTTATTAAATAAGTCAAAATATATTCTAAATGTATATATGGACTTACTTTGTATATGTGTACTTTAAATATTTGATAGTCACAAAAGTAAGTCCATACATTTTATATTCCACATCTCCGTGTTCAAATTTTCTCGGTCAAAGAAACATGGATTTTAAGTTTCACAGGACTTTTCCTATTCACTATCACACGTTGTCATTAAAAATTAGTTGAAAAATTACATTATTTTACTTGTAAGTTAGTCGTATACGTCGATAATACTAAAAATAAATATTTTTAACCATGGAAAACGACTCGTTTTAAGTACTAATATTTGTAAATCTTACAGACTTGACATAATTTAACAATTACCGTCACCCAACAAAGATGGCCGGAGCCAACGTCTTAATATATTTTGTGAAGCACGAAAGCGCTTCAGATTAAATGAGATTATATTTTCATAGTAATTTCACAAAGACATTCTAAGCGCTTAAATTGCTATTGTTTACTTTGAACAAACCTTTTCTATTTCGAAATTAGATTATCAAGAATCAATGTACCATTCAGTTTAACGTTATTTTTTTATCTATATTGTTAATGCGTAAGCCAAAAATTGGTACCCCTTTTTAGAACTATGGTCAGGTTACTTTAAGAATTTTGTACAATATGTAATTACAAATTTTAAAATTCTTTATGATTACTCGGTTAAATATTTCTCTGTTATTATAAATTAGTTGGTTAATTTATAAAATAAATAAAGAATTAGTAATTGATATTGCCTTTAGTTTAATTTTATTGTTACAATGTAGGTCGTGGTTGTCTTCTATTGCCCCTGTAAAGGCGCCCCTGTGTCTCGTGGCAAATGGCCGATAAAAGATGTCGTAAAATCAGAGTAATGTGGGAAATTATATTGAAAATCCTTCTTGTATTTGGATTTGATTTTGTATAAAGTTAGAAAAACTAATTACGCTTCCATAATTCGTGGACACAAAAAGTGATGTCATTTGCTTTTAACAAGCATTCTTAATTTTTAAGATGAGTAATTTTGGTACGTTTGTAACATTCTTATGGTGAAGGAACATCGTGATATAGCCTGCATATAGCTGCGAAGAAATTCAAAGATATGTGTGTCGTCAACTCGCATTGGGCAAGCGTGGTTGACTATGGCCTAGTCACTCCTAACTTAGGATAGGCTCGGGGCCCATCAGTGGGGACTTTAAGTGCGCTGATGATATAGGTGGTTGTTTATGATACATAATTAATTTAAATCTATGGAAATGAAAGTGCCTTTGGCTACATGATTAATGACATACGTAATGTATAAGGGAGAAATGCCTGGACATTACGAAGCAACGCATGGGTGAGGGACTTAAGTAATGTTTCATTAGAAACGTAGATTAACTGCCAGACTCAGAGTCGCTAAGCGGTTTATAAAGAAGTCTCTTAGTGTTAATTTAGTACGCATAATAAGGAAATACTTAATTAAATTTATTTAACTGATTATTTAGTTTATTCGTATCGTAAGAATTAAAATCTATCAAAAAATATTTTATCTAACATGCATGCCTTTGGGCCGTGCAATTATGAACGGAAACAAGATAGCCTATGTTGTACTTAATTAAAATGAATTAGATTTAATTGTTCTTTATTTTTAAAATAGGATAACATTATTATTAAATATAGGCTTAAATTATTTTAACAAAACCTTACGTTCTGAAGTAAGTTTGAACTTTAAATGTAAATACCGTCATGAATATTTGATTAGGTTCTCTCCAATGTGCTGGGAACAGGACGAAAATGAAAAGGTTCACGTATGTAAATAAAATACATGCAAACATATCCATCCATCCATACATCCAAGCATTCGTAATTATAATAAAAAGATTGGTAACATTGTTAAATAAATATTAAACCAAGAGAATAGGAGCTTATTATCTCTATTTATTTCATCTATTTCTAACTTACTAATTCATGTACATAATTCATTTGAGAAATACGACATGATATTTCATAAGTAGGCCAAGCGACCGATCGACGCCATAAGCAGACGACTTCAATCGAAGAAAAGCAAATCTTGCATCCATAAGAATATTATTATGTAACATTTTCTTTTGGTACACTTTAATATATTTGATTGGATTGAGATTGGAGAACGTCGGTGGCTCAGGAGTTAAGCCCTTGCCCTGCAATATGCAGATCCTTGGTTCGAATCCCGCCATGTACCAATTTGTCTTTCGATTTCCGATAATGTACATTTATCCGATGTTCTTACGGTGAAGAAAAACATCGTGATGCAACTTGCACATATCTGAGAAGAAATTCAAAGATATGTGTAAAGTCAACCAACCCGTACATGGCCAGCGTGGTAGTTTATGGCCTAGTCACCCCTAAGTTAGGGTAGGTTTCGGGCCCCTCGGTGGGGACGTATAGTGAGCTGATGATGCGCAATATACTGGATTAATGATTGTGCAATGTAAATAGTTTTAATAGAAAAAAAACAAAACAATTTCCTAAATTATTGTGTAATATGAAACAATTATCATTTCTTTCAATTCAACACTTTTGAATATGTTTTAATTGCCAATCATTTTTACCACAGTTGAAATAATTTGAATTTGGAAAATGCATGTTAAACATGGATGGATGTACAAACTCCGACATACCTTTTTATACCCATGAATGTCTCTCATAAAGTTGTAGGTAAATATCCAAAAATTTAAAGTACGTAAACTTAAAAAACTTTTTCCAATTCCTATAACTTATTTCTTAATGTATGAAAGGTTTACAAAAAAGGTGAGGAAATAAAACAATAGTTTATTTTTAAATTTAATTTTTGAACCTAACAGCTTCGTAACTTTCATAACTTAATGTTTACCAGCTAAGTATAACAGACGCACTCGACTATTGAACATTGTTCATACATTATGCTTGTTTCACACGAAGGCAGAACAGAGCAGTAGATAATGTGGTACTGCTATTGATTGGAGTTACAATTTTTTTAAGGATGAAGCGAATGACGTCGTGATCAACAGGATAATAATCGACGTCTCTCTAAATAGTTATTTTTTGTTATGCCGTTCCAAATACTAATGTGTATTTTGATTTACGTATGTACATTTATCGGACGTTCTTACTGCGAAGGAAAACATTGCGATGCAACCTGCATGCACATATCTGGGAAGAGGTTCTGTGAACTGAATCCGCACTTGGTCAACATGGTTGACTATGGCCTAGTTACCCAACTTAGGGTAGGCTCCGAGCTCCTCAGTGGATCTTATAGTGAGCTGACGATGTTCTATGTCCACCAATAGAAGTACTGCAGTTCCTACTGCTCTATATGATTGTTCAACCTTCGTGTGATATAGCATTACACATTCTTACAGTCAGTACCGAAAAAACAATTATTTATTTTTTATCACGAAGTTTGCCTTTATCACGAAAATACTATACTTATAATTACTAAATTCCCATTTCTCAATTCATTTATACATTTTCCATGAGATTAAGGAAAGTTACACCGTGGGCTTTTACTGTAGTTTTTAACAACGACAGATTACAATTTTTTTTATTTACTTGTTTCGGTAGTGCAATCACGTTTATACAGATACAAGGAATTTCTCTACTGTTTTTTTGCTTATCTTACAGAGTAAAAAAGTGGATGTGACTATTTAAATTATTTGTGTTATTGTATTTATATGAAAAACATACAACACAGACGTTTAACATTTCAGAAAACAATATTAAATTTATCAAATTATTTTTTATATATGTTATGATTATTTAGTAACTATATTAAATAAATAAATAAAAATACTTAACTATGTAATATTTACCTCAAGGCAAAAAAAATATATTAACGTTTTTTAGCCATATAAAGAGTCGCCTCGAGGACTAAATGCTATAAAAACTTTTTGTGTCTTTGTATCTTGGAAAAAACCAAATGAGAAGTTCGTTTAGGGGTTTTTTTAACTATTTAAAGATAAGCCTATGGTAATATAGGATCGTAACAATTACACATCTACTCAATATTTCACCACCTAAATATACGTTAAGTTCGAAGTCTATTGACAATTAGTCACAAGCTAATACATTAGAAATAGGAAAAGGCACAGTTGAAGTATAAAATTTATTGCTGACATCCTTAACTAATTACGTCTGATTTCCATATTAAGAACTGTGTGGAGGTAAATTTTATAAATTCAATACAGAGAATATTTTATAGATTATAGAGTATAAATTATATTTTCCAAATCTATCTTTTTTATTACAATAGACCACTAGAGAAATAAAGAAAAAATCTATGATTTTTTTTTAATTCAATTCCAATATGGATATAAATGTTCCGAATAATTTTAGAAAATATAATTATTATTATTTAATTTTGGCACATCTAAATTTATTAATATAGAACAGAAATTAAGTTTCGTAAACATTCAGTGCTGTTGAAGACAATAAATACAGGTCCAACATTTTTTTTTGTAGGTTACATATTTATGTAATCTGTATTTTTTTTCTGTGCGTTTTGACAGTTAGAACTACTAGTAATTAAAGTATATTGTAATTAAGAAAATAGGTTTTTTTTCGTGATCAGAAAATAGTATTTTAATTTTCAAAGAGAAACATATGCAAACTATTTTCTTTCTTCTCTTTTATAATCTACCGAACCAATGTTTAAGCACTTTTTCTGTGCACGATAAACTAAATATAGAGTTTCTATTCAAGATAGATTAATTTGACAATTTACTAGATATGGGTAGATTAAAATCGATTAAGAATTTTTTCGATTTTCGATGGTTATTTTCATAGAACTTGCAGTCGATAATTTCATGATTATTGTTTTTGAATTACATTATAAATAAAATTATTTCTTTCTAAGCCTCCTTTATTCTTCATACAAAACATAAAAAAAGGATATTAAAGCAAAATTTGCGATGGTGACGAACAAAAAATATATTTTTTTATTGATTGTGCGATACATAGCCAAATAACTGTAATAAGTTCAAAAAGGTATAAAATACCTAAATTATAGTACCCATTTATTTGATTAATTTTATTACAAGACCGATTCTCGACAGTTCACAGTTATTCGTTCTGCGCGACAGTACGACACTATGATAATCGTCCATTTAGTACGACATTAATCTCCATACAAAATTAATTCTATATTTTATAGACGTCAGTTGTCCAACTAGTCTATCTTAAATAGACCCACTATAATACTAATAATTCCTAATTCAATCGTTGTCTTACAAAATATTTAACTTCAATGATTTGAAACCTCAATTTGATTAGAATTGACAGATTATATAACACTACACATTTACACTTAGTTTAATACTAAATTCATCATTTATAAACAATTTTCAAGTTTTTTGAAACTAATTTAAATTATGGTTTAAGTTGTCGAATCAACCTGGTTTAACAGCTCACAATGCAATATATTTTGTGACTATCCAGCTGAAATTTAGTTAACTAGGATCACTTTTTAGTTTTTTTTTACATACTGTGGGTGTCCGAGACCTAAAATCTCTGTATATAACACAGAGGTAACAATATGTTTAAAACGGAGATTTAGGACTCGGAAACTCACGGTTAGTGTTTCATAATTGTGGACATAGAGCATGATAACAGGTGTATCGAGTTTTACCATAAGCACCGTACTAGTTATAACTAATGTGAAGGGATTATACGTTCACGTAGAAAACATCTCACCACAACAAATTGACTAGTACTAAAGCTACACTAAATAACTTTTTAATTAACCTTAAATTCATTAATGTCTATGAAGTAATCAAACCGGCCGCATTATTTGATGAAGTGAAGAGGACAGCGAAGATGATGGGTAAAACACAAGGGTTGTCTATAGTTTTTCAAGCACAGGTTGATTTGTCACCCACCGTTTGTATAATAACATAGGAAGACTGTCGAAAATTGCATCTTTCTTGTCTTCGTCTTCTCGGTTTCTTTTGTCTCATATCAGTCCAGTTGAAATATAAAGTCTTATAAAAGAAAAGCAAGGAAGGAATTGATGGAAATTCGTTCATATCTTAGATGTAAACTTCATGATGTTGCTGCGGCCGGCCCTGCCTGGACTAGGATCCACATTCCGTCAGTTCTACTGTATCATCTATTTCTGGTCTTGTATTTTCTATTTTTCTTCGTTCTGCAATAACGATTCTAATACTTTCTTCTTCGCTTATAGGCTGGTCGATAGAGTCTGGTGTTAGATGGGATCTCATAGAACTGTGACTTATATCACTATTCGCAGCAGATTCTATTGAAGACCGTTTCTTTGACCCAGTAAGTCTTAGACTTTGTCTTGTTGATGGAACGGTTAAGAGAACTGGGGTCGGCCTTAGTAGCCTCGCTTCTTCGCCTCTCAACGAATTCCTTTTATCTACGCGTTGTCTTCGATTATTTGCAAATGAATCCCTTCTAGGTGGACTACCGGGCTCTAGTTCTTCAATATCATCAGCGTCAATAAAGCGAGCGTCTTCTTCGTATAAAGCAGCTCGGGTGCTTACAAAAGATTCCAGATTACGTCGTCCAAATGCATGAGGCGATAATGAAGCTCTCCTTTGTGGTACTGACATAGGCGATGGTAAAAGTGCGTGATGGGAATGTAGCGTGCGACGCCGTCGTATGGGCGATGGTATCGGTTGCTGTTTGGGTTCACTGTACGTGAAGTTTGCTGGCAGAGATGGTACTTTGTTCAAAGATCTAGGTGGTGAGGTACATTGCTCTAATGCACGACATAAAGCCCGGTCTTCTTCATCGTCAGCTTCTCGTTCTAATTCTCGTTCGAGTTCCACGTCCATGTCTATTTCATCTTCCATTTGTTTATGAGATTCTTCTAGGTGTTTCATCAGGACCTGAGAAAATATGATTAGTATAAATGAAACATTGCAAATAAGAGTATAGTAAATAGTATCTAAAAACTTATATAGTTTTGTAAACAATATTTTTTTTAAATTATAGAAATGCTTACGGCCACAACAACGTTGACGAGAACGAATTGAGCCATCAAAACGAATACAACAAAGAAGATTGGTGCAATTATGGTAGACACACAACAATTTCGTACACAATCCACAGAACTGTCGCAATCTTCTCTCAGTGTGTCTTTCATAATACCATTCCAGTTATCTCCAGTTGCCACACGAAATAGAGTTAAAAACGCCATTCCAAAATTTGCAAAATGTGCATGTTCTCCTAAACCTAAAAATTAAGTTTATTAGAATTGTACTTCTCGTAATAAATGATGAGAAGATTTTTCTTTATTACCTTGACATGGAATATCATCAGAACATTCTAGTCGACCAAATAATTCCACTCCTAATGCGGCGAATATGAAAAATAATAAGAAAAAGAGGAGACCTAGATTGCCAACTTGAGGTAGAGCTTGCATTACCGTATCCAATAAAGCCCTTATACCTTTCGCCATTTTAAGTAGTTTTAGTACCCTCGCTATTCGTAACACTCTCATTACTCTCATTATTGTAGGATTTATTGGTATTATATTGGTTTCTAGTTCTTCTAAAACTATTCCAACTATAGAAAGGATTACTATAATCACATCGAGTTGATTCCATTTGTCTTTTAGATAAATTTTTATGCCCAATGCTACTAGTTTCATTGCTGCTTCAAGTATGAAAACAGCGGTAAAGAAATAATTGAAAATTTTTAACGCATATTCTAGAGCCGGGGGCATTCTGTAGTATTCTATAGCCATGGTGACTACGTTTAGACCGATAACGCCTGCTATGGCGAGGTCAAAATATTTTGATGTTACGACATTATGCACAAAGAGTCTAGTCTGACCATAGTCCGCGTAGTAAGGTCTTTGATGCATTTCTGTAAGAACGATAAAAGTACGATAAAAATATTAATTCAAATAATTGTATATTAAAATTGAACGTAAGAATTCTTACTTCGTCTTTTCTTTTCCATTTGCAGAGCTCTCTTAGCAGCTCTTCTAACTCTTTCTTCTTTCTCTTGTTCTTCTCGACATCGGTGGAAATTCTCAACAACCACTCCCACAAACATGTTTAACACAAAGAATCCAACTAGTAATATAAATGCAATGAAATATAGTAAACGCCACTCTGAGTAATTGACAATGGGCTGTAAAAATATAAAAAAAGTTTAAAAATAAAAAAGTTGCAGTACACTGTTTTCAAAGTTAAAAGTTGGACGGAAAAAGCCAAAAGTAGACTGGTGTAGAGAAATTTACTTGATCAGGCCCAAGCCCACCTGCTATAGCGCCTCAGATGATGATGACACTGCTTCCAAAGTCTACTTAAAAACATTAAATTGGGAGGAGTAACAAATACATTTTCCTAAAGTCTACCTGTTGATCGACTCCAACTGCGTCTAATCCTGTATACATTATGTTTACCCAGCCGTCTCTAGAGCTGAGCACGAACAAAGACATTAGGGCTTTGCCTAAATCATCGAAATTGTACTTTCGATTCACCCACACGTTTCCTTCAATAGCTAGACAATCTGACTTATTTTTAACATTTTTAATATTAGCACCTTCGCAGTAGAAGAATGCGCCTTTAAATAACTGAAAACGAAAATAAATAAATTTTAAAAAGTCAAAAGACTTCGTAAAGAGCTATATAATTTACCTTGGGTTTCTGGAACCAAAATCTCTGTTTAAAACATATTATCTTTATTATTATCTTTGACATACACCGAGATAACAATATATTTTAAACGTGGATTTCAGTCTCAGAAACTCACGGTTAAAAAACTAAGTAAGCTGATGAATTAAATTTACACAAAGCTGTGTGTATATTAAATTTTCCTCACCTGTACTCCCAAAATGCCAAATATGATGAAAAATGTACAACATATCAGAACTATATTTCCAATAGGTCTCAATGAAGATAATAATGTTTGAACGACTAACTTCAGACCTGGTGCCCTATTAATTACTCTTAAAGGCCTCAAAGATCTTAACAATCGAAACACCTACAAATAATTTAAAATTTATGAACATGAAACAAATATTTGTATTAAAGCAATGTGTATCAAAACTTACTCTTAGTATTCCGAATATTCGAGGACTCGATTCCGATACGAGAGACATCAATAAATCTATTATTGATATTATGACAAGAGAACCGTCCATGATATTCCAACCGGAAGTGAAATATGCTTCGGGTCCGTAGAACATTCCAGACGCCACGACCTACAAATTGAACAATTGTCTACGAATATTTCATTCTATAATACTAATATTCACGTCTACAAATTACCTAATGAATGATCAACGGTTTTTAACTAATTTTATTTAATCAAGCTGTATTAAATAAAATTCTTTAATATGAAAAAAGTGTTAATGCCATACACTATAGTAATTATATCAACACGTGACTAATAATATTCTTACGAAAAGTTTGACAAAAAAAAAGATATTTTATAGCACACTCTCTATCTATAGCTTTGATCATCAATATTGCAACTGTTAGGAGGAAAAACCAATACTGTGCCGGTATATCGGCGCAACACTAGACCTATTAAAATATCTACGCGTACGTCCCCTCACTAATCGATCTGACACTTGACTTGAAAACGAATTGCGCCTTTCGCTCCAAATTATCCTAACTAATAATGTCTAAAACTATGTGTTTTTAGACACTATTAGTTAGAATCATTTGGCGCGAACGGCACGCTTTCGTTACCAAGTCAAGTGTCAGAATGATTAGTGAGGGGACATAAACGTCGACATTAAAGTAAGACTAGTTGCGCCAGTACACCGATACTGTGTCAGATTTTCTTCCTAACAGTGTAAACTTTCATTTTAATTTCAGTCTAAACGTAGGGATGGGTTGTATATAGTTGTGGTCTATTAAATTCAAAATGATCATTGTTTACCTTTATGAGCATTTCAACAGCGAAGACGCCAGTAAATACGTAGTTAGCACTCGAGAGAAATGCTCTTTCTTTAGAGTCGGGAGGGATGTTTGGTCGTTCCATTGCCAGTGTTATACAATTGAGCGCGATAAACAGCAGTACGATGTTATCGAACCAACTCCTTGTTACCATCCATGTGCAAAATTTCCTAATACTATGAGCAAAAATGGTTTAATTATATTATAAAGCAGACATAAATCCCGCACTCAATGTTGTTTTACTTATTTAAATCAGCGCTTGGTGTCCTCATACTAAATCTACCCTTAGGGTCACTTATATTAACCACATAGCTGCTCCGTGTGCTTCATTAAATAATTAACTAGTAATTCAATACAAATAATTAAGTTAAAAATAAACACAAAGAACTGTACAACTTTTCCAAACAACGTAATAAATAAATCTAGTAACTTGATAATAAAAGAAAAATACGACCAATTTTCCATTACTGGGAGGTAGTCATTTCACTGACTTTTTATTTGTTATAGTTGGAAAATAAATCAGAAATTCTTACTTGTTATCGGGCGGAAATATATAGAGTGAATAATCTTCTTTTTCCTTTAGACATCCTGTTGGTTCCATAAATCGAAAAAGATCCTTAAATCTGTATTGATGTCTATTGAATCGTGCCGAAAATAAGCACATGTTGTTAGCTATGGTAACCTAAAAGGACATATATTATTGTACTTCAAAATATGAGATTAATTCTAATTGTTAAATAAAATATGTCATCAAAATACGAACACTTTATGTACTAAAAGTATTCGTTTACATATTAAAAAAGAAATAAAGGTTTTATTTTCTAAATGAACTTTGACGTAAATTAAAATTGATACAGACATTCAATTGACTCACAATTAATCAAGTATTGATTAATTTCGTCTTCGACTATTTAATTTGAATTGAGGCTTACCTCTTCATTTATTTGTTTAATTAATGGCAGTGGTTGGTTGTTGGGTCGTGTCGGTAAAACAGCACTTTCATTTCGAGTTGGCTTTGTCGGTACAGGTAGTTGTGGAGGCGGTGATGTCAAATTACTTGATTTGACTTCAGATACGGTTGTTACTAAAATTTAAAATGAAAACCATAAATTTAGTTTACTTTAGTTAATATGTTAATAATAATAATTTAAATGTGAAAAGTAACTTTTTCTTCCATAGACTATATAAATAAGTTTAATGCAAGTTTTTATAAAATTATTAATAACCGGTACCAACATTGTAGATATAAATGAAATAATAGTTTGTGCAAATCACTAATATAATGTTAAATCTGTATTTTCGTGTGCCCTATGTTTTAGTCGTGTTGTTTATGGTGTGAAATTGACTCGTTAGGTATAATTTGTGATAGTGCATATCTCATATTTCGTGATATTGGAATTCTACAAACATGGTGGGTGAACATGAGGAAAAAGGCGCTGAAAGAAATTATGCTGTGCGATAATGTAAGTATTAGGATTAGTTATTTATTTATTCATATCAAACGCTGCAAACAGTTGTAATAAAGGGCCGTAGCGCTTAGCTTAGGGGTCGTAGCTACTTACCGTCGGTTTCTGAGACAAAAACCTCTGTGCAAAACATAATATGGTCAGTGCTGCATCTTTGACAAAACAAAGCTAACAATAAGTTTAAACGGGTTTGTTAGTCTCAGAAGCCCACGGTTAGTCGCATAACGAAAGGTTTGGTGCTACGCCGTACGCTACGTACTTTTAGCTTTTGGTTACGGTGCCGTATTTTCTGTAGATATGTCGCAACACTAATATTGTACGTTTATTATTTACCTGTCAAATAGTCGTTAGTGAGGGAAAGTCTGTGTGGCGTTGGTTTAACCGCTTCCATTCTTACAGTGGAGTCTGAGGAAAATCCTGCTTCTGGTGCTTTCCATGAAACCTATTAAAAATTTAACAATTTGAATTTAACATTCGATTAATTTTTAATTGCATCATTAATTTGATGTTGTTCAAATTACTTTTAAGAATGTATTTCATCGTCAACGACGATATCAAAGAAATAGCTTGTTCGATGTTTTTTGTCTCTTATCGCATTGACAGTTTAATCATCAAACTGTCCCTTAGGTTTATCAAACTTAATGTATAATAAGGGATTCTGCGGCTATATAAGTTTTTAATGTGGCAGTAAGTCTTACATCAGGTAGTAAGGGTGTAGTATGGGCTGAGACTCTCCTGGTAGGCTGGGCTAGGACTCTTGAAGCGGGCAGTTGTGATTTGTTGCGATTGTTCGGCAGCTCCGATTGCGTGTCGTTCTTGATAACCATCGAAGATGAGAGTAGAATCTCATTCTTGCGTAAACTAGAACCTAAGGACATAAATTATTCATAGATATTTATATAAATATTCTATTGCAACTAATTTGAATTAATATGAAATAAAAAACACCATATAACATGTTAAAATATCCATAGATTTCCTTCATTATTGAATCCCAACAATTTCAATGATACCCTTTGATTTAAGGTTTGTAATTTACAATTCAATGAAGCGGTTAACCGTAAATGTCAAACTTAACATTCGCTCAACAGAATATTATCGAGAACAAAACTTAACAACGTGAAACCTTCACTCCGTTACCTTACTTATATAAATAAAAAAAATGGCTTTAGAAGCACTGGCCATTTAAAAAAATAATGTCAACACATTCCGATTTCTTTTTTTTCTGATTTTATATTAGGAGTAGGTGTTTTTTTTTTAATTACCATTACAAGTTGTGTGATCTCGACCATTGTTAAGTATAACGGCATCAGAATCTGAGCCAGTTCTTTGTTTTTTGCGCCGCAGACTGGGTCTAGATAGGCGCCAGCTGTAACCTCTTTGAACACGACATTTATCGTCACCATTTGCTGTTGGTGTAGTCACGGCTACACTCCTGTAAGATATTTAATTATATTAATTTTCATTTTAACAAAAATTAATTCTAAAATGTTGGAAGATAGATCAATCTGAAGGACTAAACACTGCTGACCTTCCGTGAGGTACGCATTGCATTGGAGATGATGGTGAATAGAATCTGATGACTGAAGAAGATAAGTTACGTGTGAGACTAGACCAGAGATGGCGAATTTATGTGCCTTTTTCTAAAGAAACATGTAATAAGGTCAAATAAGCGCTATCAAATAATATTGATTTTATGGTTATTGGGATCATATCACATGTGCCATTAGTTCGCGATGCCTGCACTAGAGTGTTACTTCAGGGAACAATCTATATATTGTAATTGTTTGCTACAAAAATTTACGTTGCGAATGTTAATGATTGTAGGGAAAATATTATAAATGTCCGTTCTATATGTCAAGTAACACGGCCGTTTTAATCGATTCGATTTTTTTAGAGAATATTTTACTTTATAGGTAATCTTTATCAATGATGAGTTTATTCTCACCAAAGTAAATACATTAATATTAATAGCCGCTCGTTTTCAGCGTTCGCCCGGATGAATCTCAATATTGCTTAATGAATATAGCCAAGTTAGAAACGGAGTTACAAACGGATAAAGTAATAATTACACATCTATGCTATAAATATACAGGACAGATCCATGATCAGTTGAACATAAACTTAGGGTAGGATTTTTCGTATCAAGTAGTCATAAGAATTTTAACTTACTTTTGTGAGCTGAGTAGACTAGATTTATCGCTAACATTTAGACAATTGTCTTCTTTAGCTATAGTCACTTGTAGATTTTTTTCTGGTAATATTGGTGATGGCATCGACCTAGGCGTTGTTGGAGTTGTTGCTCCCGGGGTCGTTGACCTCGTGGGTGGAGGACCTAATGTTAAAGGCGGTGGTGCTAGGGACATTGGCGGTAGTCGAGCTTTCTCAGCCCCAAGTTGAGCTGCCGCTGAATGTAATGTTAGCGTATAACTATTTGGTGGTTTAAGTAACCCTGGTATACTTGTGCACTGTAACAAACATTTAACTTAAACTTTCCTTTGGCCCATCGAATCAAGAATTGCATGGAAGATCTTAAATATATATATCATGGGATCTTGTACTTACCGATGTTCGGTCAATAGAATCTAGACTTGATACCATAGACGATCTCTCCAAGCTTAGAACCATGTTAAAATCCCGAAAAGAAGCTCCAGGCTCCAATGTTGTTGATGGTGAATCTTGTGGTGTAGCCGCCGTATGCGTTATCATAGGTACTACTGTAGTATTCTCTGATGTAGCTGTATTGTTCGCTAGCATTTTTGATTCCTAGAAATTCAACTGTATTAACTATGGGCTATTCACTTTGCTAAAAGAATACAGAACCAATGGCTTGAAGCATATTGTAGTAACATTTTTTAAAGCATCAATTTACCTTCTGCAAATTGCATTTATTTGACTGTGCGCAATCTTTGCACAATGTGGGATGGTGTGTTGATGATCTGGTTTTACGTTTCGACTTCATTGCCTTCTCTTTGTGACCATTCACATCGTCTTTTGCCTTTCTAACGTCATCAGCGGAGCGCCAAAAGTTTTTTATTTCATTCTTAAAAATACATTAATGATATTAATATAAGAAGGTAAATGGATAGCAAAATCACACTTTAATAATTTAAAACAAAGATAATATGGAAAATAAGTGGAAAAGAAACTAATTTTGTCACTACGTTTTCACCTGGGAAAAACTGTCGCTAGAATGAGAGCCTGAATTAGAATCGTCATATTGTATTTCGTTGTGGTCTGAAAAACATTCGCTAGACAATTTTGACTTCGCTAATTCTCGTTGCTCACGCTCCCTTCTTTCGTTGCGCTAAAATGTTTACAATTGTTTTTGTTAAAACGCTTTAAAAAGTTGAATTTAAATATAATTTATTTATAAGATAATTAACTATCTTTTTTTAAGCCATATTTTAATTGATTTGATTAATTTATTTCTAATTTTTTTCTTTTTAGATAGGAGAAACTAATAAGTAAATATATCTTTTAAGAATTTATTTTATTTTGAAAGACACTTAATTGTATTATTGCATTAACTTGAACGTATTTTTTTATTAATTTGAATAATTTTTGACACAATAATTGTTATATTTTGTTTGATTTTACTTACTTCGGAACTAAAACCTTCGACTAAAATGGCTACAAGCAAGTTAAATAGAACATAATTCCCAAACGTCATTAAAGCAACAAAATACAACGCCGCCCAGTGACTTGTCTTTTCCATGCCGTTGAATAATACAACATTCCAATCTTCTTGTGTCAGGACCTGAGAAACCATTTTATATGTAAGCATTTCATCTCTCCACTACACGTTACTACCACAACATTCACTTTAAATAATTTATCACTTTCTTAATTTATCAAAATAAGCAGGGTGTGCTATCAAATATCTTCGTGTTTATAATCTGTGCTGTGTTGTTCGTTGAAATGGTAGGTGTTAAGTTTTTACTGTTGTAAAGAAAGAAAAAAAAATCGTGATTGCAATAATGTTAGTGTTAGTAAGTGTCGTGTAAATATGGTATAGTGTAAGAAAAACATACACTGTAATGAAAAAGAACACAGACGGCGACTTGGAGTACACAAGCAGAAAGGGTCCAGCATTTTTCTACAACTATTCGCTAAACAGGCAAGATGCACAAACTACAGGACGCTCGATTCGTTCAAAATACAAAATAAATACATTTCGGCCGATGCTTCTCGACAGTTACTAGTATATACAAACGTTATCATTACTTCAAACTTTACAATTAATACAATTAAAGTACTTAAATTTATTAATACTTAACTAACACGAGAAACACGGAGTCATCTAGAAGCACAATCGGAGGGATTGCAAATTAACCGACTCTTGGTACCTCGTCTAACATTTATGTTGGAACTCACCTGGAACACGGTGACTGTCGCCCACAGGATGTTATTAAAGTGTTTTCTGTCGCATTCACATTTGGGGTGATGCGAAATGATCTCGGGGCAAGTGCAATCGCGCTCGGTGCCATTGTCTTCGATGTACTTGCAAAACTTACCACCGAATAGATACATGCCGAGTATACTGCACGGCGCGGGTCCGATGAAATAATGAAAACAAAACAAACTGCTATGCGCATACGTCGCGACCGAAACGACCACGCCATGTTTGTCACGCAGTCGACGTTAACACTGCGGTAGGGAGTCCATCCCATGTATCACTACACTAAATATGACTTATGTTACGCAGATAATAATGAACGGTTTAGTGAGATAAAATGTGAATTTCAAACAATTAGTCATTCAAAATATAAAACTTGAAGTATATGATATGAGTGCTTCAAAATGTGAAGCATTCGCAGACCAAAAGTGCGTGAATTCTCAAACCGTAAAACTAGACGACTTATAAATTGTTGAATTGTTCCTTTGTTCGTGAAATCTAACGTTTAAAAGCTAAATTAGTTAAGCAGTGTTATCGCCGCCGGTACGCTACCACCAACGGATTTGTTAATTATGTAATATTATTTAAATTATTTTATAGTTTTATATAATTATTCTGTTATTTAATGCATTTTTCCACTATAATTAAAACAACAATCATAGTTTATAAATTTTATTATTTCATAACAGTGAAATGCAAATAATAAATTTAGAAGAGAATAAAGTAGGCAAAAGAAAAGTGCAAAAAAATAATTGAAAACTTCCATTCAGTTCGTACCAGAAATTTTTATTGAAATTAATGTAATTTCCAAAAATATATACAAGTACCTTGTTGATTGTGCGATAGTAGTAATTAGTTATTACACAGATACAAAGAAATGAAAGGAAGAAATAGACCAGTAAACGTCAGACAAATATTTGAAGTTAGAGAAAAGAGAAAAAAAAATATTTAGATGTGTTAAAAAGAAAAAAATAATGCAGGACTTATAAAATGAAGTGAACTTTAGTTAAGAATTAAAGATAAATAAATTATATAATTTATATTTAAAAGAACACTTCACTTTTTCCTTATAAATAAATTAAATAGAATCTATATATTAGTAGCAGCATGCAAAGAGTGAAAATTGTTTGACCGAGTACAGCTGTAATAGTGGGATTAAAAGGATCGAAGACAAGGTATTAACTCCGCGATTCAGCTCTTATCGACCTCAAGCTAACCTACAATTCAACCAAGCTCACTTACTTAACAATGTGCTTTTGTCAACTTCTGATAGGAATATTTTACGGCACAACATACAGTGATTATTACACTAGATGATTCTGGAGCAATTTGTTACAGATGGATCTAGATTTATTTACTACACGGGTTCTAGGGTAGCTGTTATGCGACTGAACGCCTGTTTGACAAAGCACAATGCTGCAAGATATTGCCTTCAAGTTACAAACGTTGTACCAGTAACAATGTACACAAAGTATCTCTTGCAGCAAAGTGGAACGTCGTTTGTGTACTCGCGTGGTTAGTTAATTAGCCGCCGTACGAACAATCATCTATTATAGGGATTGTCGATTTGTGCTTGAGTGTTGACTGCGGACGGACGCAAAGGTAAAAGCGTTAAGTAATATGTAGCAAGTTCAGTCTGTTTTTTGGGTTGTCTGTTAGGTTTTTTTTTATATTTAAAATATTGAATACCTGAAACACCGTGACAAAGGCCCACAAGAGCGTATCAAAGTTTTTTCTGTCGCACTCTTGTTCACCCTCTTCGTCTTTCTCGCAGAATTTGCACCCGAAGAGGTTCATACCGAGGATGCTGAACGTTATCACGCAATATACGATTAGATAATAATACGTTTTCAACAGTCCTCTCCAAATGTATTATAAGGGACGAAATAATAAATTGTACAAAAATACTAAGAGTGTAAGGTCTAAAATGGAAAGTGAAAATGTGCAGGTAGAAATAAATAGAGGTGAAGAAGAAGCACAAAAGCGTGATAGGTACTAGATAACCAAAAGTTGATAAGAGAAGAGAAAAATTGTAAATAGTGTGGATAGTGGTAGTGTGTAGTGGGTAAAATGTCACAGACAGAAATGATCGTAAAGTTAGGAAAGATAGAAAAGAAAACAGGGTAAATCACTCACAGTTATACAGTGCACGGATCAGGGGTACAAGAGTGATAGTTAATAAGAAACTATTAGAGTTAACAAATTCGAAGAGTTGAATCTAATCTTCTTTTCTATAGGAAAGTAAAAGTTCAATTGAACAGTTCTAAAGTATTTGCTTAAAAATACAAGTACTACGCGACAGCTACAGTTGAAGATTTAATTAAAACTTCACTGCAATAGAGCAAGAAAGTGAAAGCAATGACTTAAGTTAAAAATATCTATAAGTTGACTTGCACATTACGGTAAACGTCCTGCCGAAATTATTAATCCTCTTAAATTTCTGTACGAAAACCTTTTATATTTTTTCACGATTAAAAAACTGTGAACTCAATAATTACAATAGTTGTCAGAAGAAACAAAAAAAAAGAAGAATAGTAGAAAAGTTTTTAGAAAACTTGTCAGGAAAATAAAATCAGAAACTGTTAAATGAACCCTGTTATTTATTTATTTTTATTATCATGCATTTTATAGGTAGCTTTAAATCAAATTTATATTCCTTAAATGATTCCTTTAAATAATTGTAATTTTAATATATGTCGATATAAATTCAATAAATATACACTTGTCATATTATTCCTAGGAAATAAAAAAATAAAACAATTACCTGAATATAAATATGAAAAGAACGAGCAAGGAGAAAAAGACCGCAACGTTGTCCATTGTCCTTAACATAACAAACAGCTGACGTCGAAGGTTCGGCATGAATCTTACAAGTTTAAGAATACGTAAAAGCCTAAATGTACGCAGTACTGATAGACCAGAACTCCCAGCCATGTCTTTATCATTTCCAAAACTATGTGCCAGTTCAAATGCACTGCCAAAGAAAAATTAATTTAGATTAATTATATTAATTTTCAATGTTCTTTTGTTCAAAATTGTACAGCATCAGAAGCTTACCTCAGTATTACAATAATACCATCAAACACATTAAATCCATTAGAAATGTATTTGAATGGACCTTCGGCAATAATTTTAAGTACCATTTCAATAGCAAATATAGCAGAAAATACAACATTGCTAATTTCAACAATCACTGTCAGCTCTTCTGGTTGATTATGATACTCAATGCCCATCGATAGCGTGTTGATAAGAATTGCCAAAAGTATCCCTAAAATTATATGTACGATATTATTTTTAAGCCACACATTAAAAAAAAAACAAAACGAGTTTCAAAGTTGAAAGAAACCTTGCTGAAAGTATTTATGGTTGACAATAGTTTTAATATGTTTCCTCAATAACAAAAGAAATTTTGATATTCTTTTCCAGAATGTTGTGCACACATTGCAGACGCGACTTTTTCTCGTTTCCTTTGCCGCCGCTTCCGCTGCTATTAAATCAGCACAACACGAAAAATCTTCTATTTCGACAATCTGAAAATATTGTTTTATCATTTTGTTCACTGGTTTATGATAAAATTTGTAGATTAGCGTATTTTTTGCTCACCTTGGTGTCAGATTTTTCATCACCAGCTCTTTTGCTTATACCCTTAGTTAGTTCTTCGAAGAATGAGTCTAATGCGACTTGGCCAGTAGGTAGTGCTGCTGACAGTGCTCCTGATAGTGCGAGCAGTTCTTGGCATGACATAGTTCCACCTGCGGCTGCACGATCGTCCGCTGTTTCACTTGCGGGCATGTCGAACTCTACGTTGTCAAATTAAATTTCACTACAATGCGTGCTGCTAATGGGATTTGCGTTAAAAATTCAACCCAGAAAGTATTCCATTAACCTAAATCGTGTCAATCAAACAACCGATATAAACAATCGTACTAACACTTTCCAGGCTTATTGAAAAAAAAAATATTTAAATAATACAAGCATAGGATTTATTCACTAAAATTCCTAAACAAAACCAATCGAAAATTAAGTCCTAGACTTAATTTTTGATCTAGATATACATCTGAAATGTAGAAGGGATAAGAGACACATGCCCGGCTAATAGTTCGTCTAGATCTAACACATCTCTAGACTCACCGCTTTGACTCTTAAGCCAGTCACGTTGGCACAATGAATCTATAAATATTTTGTTATTAATGATATATTTTATATTTAAAATCTTATTACCGTTGACCTATTCTACTTAATATTTGGGATTATTTCAATACCTTCAAAATTAAAATTTCAATGCTTAAAGAACCAAACCTGATAGATAGTTCTTTGAAAGAATACTGACGAACAACAAAAAATCGGAGATTAAAATTAATATCCGAAAATTTAATAATAGCACGATAAACTACAATTTTCTTTACTTTACTGGCTTGGCTTTACTCATAATCATCAACACATACATTTTTCATAGAACTTTCCTATTCATCATTAACCTGTACCTGCAGAAGGTCAGCACAGTATATCAGCCGTCATATCTGAATCCACTCTGTCTTATGCATATTTTATTTCACACAATCCATTCATACTTTCATTGGTCTCTTCATTGTAGTCATCGAAATTCAATCTCATAACTTATTGGTTTTTGTGATTATCATCTCCGCGTAATATGTGGAGATAGAGCTTTACTATCATTGAACAAATCTAGAATCTAGTAATACCTGTTTGCGTCATTTTCTCGGAAGAGCACACATTGTGTGGATGCGCCGTCGGTGTTGTGGGCGTGTGTAACAACACCGTATCGCTGAACATAACCGATGAACGTCGTCTCGCCAGCGACGGCGGCGAGAGAAGCGATAAGTTTGAAGCATTCTAAAAAATATTAGAATAAATTTTTTTATTGCAAAAGGAGGTAAATGCGGAGTATGACAATAAAAAATTTTGGGCAGACGTTTTTATAGGGATAAGTTTTATAAATAACGGATTTACTCAAATTGTACAACTTTCTAAGCTAAGGTTTAAACTGAATTTAAAGATATTAATCTTCATGATTAATTCAAATTTGAAATGTAATTTCGTGCTTTTCCAATAAAATTCAAAATTAAACTTTTGTAAGCGAACGAGATTTTCAAAGAAAAATATGAAAGTAAGAATATGTTTGAGCAAATGAAATTACCTCGAGATCTGCGGCGGAGAGCGAGGGTACACGCAACAGGCTGGGTCGACTCAACGGCTCTTCCCCTTCCTCCGGCCCTATCCCCGCCCCTGCCTTGCTCCCGTTCCCCTACGACACCAATAATAACCTTCCTTATAATTACCCTCTTGTACACAGTTGAGGAAACGCATTTCATTATAATTACCCTTTTGTTCACAGTTGAGCAAACGCATTTCATTCTAATTACACTCTTATACACAGTTGAAAATTTGTAACGTAAATCCAACAAGTCAAAAGAATTGTTATTCTAATTTAAAACATCGTTGCTTATTCAAACAAAGCATGTTTATCAAATTACATAGTTAAGGTTTTGTTTTAATAATTAGGTGGAAAGCGAGCAAGCGGCCAACTTAATTTGCTGAAATAGCGAAGGGACCACCGCCACCGTAGGCATTGTTATTGCTGGAATCTATAACTGTTATAATTATGTACTTCTAATAAAAACATCATGTTTAATTATAAATACCTGTGGATGTGCTCTAGGACAGCAAGGATGATGTTGTTTAGGCTTGTTAGCTGGAAGTTGAAGTGTTTCTCTACTTTGTCGCCATCGTATCTGAGCTTTTTGGTATCGGTAGACCCTAAAAAATCAAATTGGTCCGAACTTTTAATTCAGAGATGTACAATAAAAGGATACAATTAATAAAATCGATTAAAAATCGGTTCGAGTTCTATATGGTTGTTATGATTATAAGACGTGTTGGACTAAAAATATCTGCGAAATCGTATGGGACATAATTTAATTTATTTTCATGTACCTGATTTTCTTCGCCATTCTCCTTTTAAATCTCCTCCATAAGTGTGCAACATATTTGACGATTTCTGCATAACATGTAGCAGGCTCACTATTATTTGTTGACGAAGCCAATGTAGATGATGATGTAAAACGAGCTCTTTCAGCTCTCATCCTTTCCATTTCACGTTTCTTAGTTTCACTGAATTGTGTTGCGATGACGACAAGGCATAAGTTGATCATAAAGAATGATCCGATCTGGAAAAAGAATTCTAAATTGCAGTCGAAATTTCTCATAAGTGTTTAAATTTAAGATTGAAAGCAAAAAACTTTACCACAATTAATAGCACAAAATAAATCCAATCCCAGAAACTGTGAGCATCTTGAACATAGTACATAATGTCTGTCCATCCTTCCAATGATATTACCTAAAAATATAATTACGCAAATTATAACATTGTTCACAAATTGCATTTATAATAAAAATTAAAGTATTTTTAAAATTAAATTGAAGAGGTTTACCAAGAAAATGGCGACCCAAGCTAAGCCAATGTTGTCGAATGAAATCGTGCCTTGAAATGGATTAGATCCTCTTTCTGTACAATTCGTGTAATATTGATTCCAGTCAACGCAAGACGTATTCGTCGGTCTATTGTACGAGAAAGGTTTTGCTGTCTCGTTGCACACGAGAGGCCCGTATCGATACGGTGGGAAGTTGCCGCATTGATGCATACCGTTGTCCTCCGGAGTCGTACAAATGTAATCCAATTCTTTGGAGAACTCGTAGTGAAACGATATGCTGTGTACAATAATGTTTCTATAAGATAATTTTATATATATTGTCTATTGAATTTAAAGGTAGCCTGATTTATTTGTTTTTATTTAAATTAGATTATAGACTGGAAATGAACAGATTATCGTAGAACCAATCACTTGTATTTATGTTATTATAGATTGTTATTGGATTAGTAAAATTGTTACAGATTATATATATGGAATCGTTATGAAATGAATTATGTATAGAACTGATCAGGCCACAATTAAATTTATTATATTCTACAAAGCCGGACGTTAAGCTTTAATGGATATAATTATTTGAGGGGAAAACATGCAACCATTGAAGTACATGCAATGGTAAATCATGCAAATAATAAAAGTGATTAAATTAGATTTTGGTGTGATAATTAACAACTATAGAATAAATAAGTATAGAACGAGTTAGTGACCACAGATTAAAGCAGATTTTTAAAATATTAGACATGGAAGATGAAATGAAAACTATCGACTAATTGGAAGAGGCAGGCTTTTTGCCTATATTAGTAATTTTTGAGCACATGTCTCAGGTTCAAAATATTTATATATGTTGAAATTTGGTAATCAAATCGTAAATGTTAGCTTGTGATATTTATTGGCACTGGTTGATATTGACTGAATGCTATCGAAAATATGTATTATGAAAGATATGCTAGAAGTTAAAATATCATCCTAAATTCAGGGATTGTGAGTCTTAATTTTGTGTTAGCTTTAAGGTAAAAGTACTTTCTATTGAATTTAAAGTGGAACTATAAGATTCACAGATAATCTATAAACTTAATTCCGTGTGGTTACATTTATATTTATAACTTGTGTAGTTAAAGAAAACAATATAAATAAAATGTAGGTATGTGTTTTAAAGGTCGATAGAGCTAACCAAATGCTTTGAGTATTTATGTACAAACTGGCAGTTCTAGAACCACGAGATTGTGGTAGATAAACGATAAATTCTGTGTTAAACGTAACCGTAAAATTCCACTTCTATGTCACCTATTTAAATATATATTGTCATCCCTTTCCTTCTCTCTGATAAAACAGGGACTACAATATATATTAATACGGGTAACACGGCCGTAGAATTTTACAGTAAAACTGCCAATTCGTGTAAGATAAGCAGATATAGCACATCTGGACGGCAGATGTGTGAAGATACACGTGACAACAAATCTTATATCTTAACAGAAACACTTAGATTCCCAGTTCCTTACGAGTTCACTCTGACGCGCACCCTGTACCATTCTGACAGGTCTCTGCAACATAAATTGACGATGTGGTGATGGATGTCATGATCCTAATTCACTACGAAAACAATTGAATATCTATCATTAAAAAAATAAACTATTAAAATGCAACGGTGGCCATGATGGCCAGTTACTTTTAACATGATATTTTTCTTATTTTTCTGTTGCGATTTGAATATGATTGCTGTTTTATCTATTCTACAAAATGTATAATTTTTAACTACTTTTACTACTTCATATTTTAAAATTATTTCAAAAACAGTAAACAGTATTAAGACGGTTTACAAAAATATATTCTTTGTTATTCTTTTGTGTGTGTTTGTTTGCTTATGTAATCGACAGTATGCAATATTTAAGTGTGTTTGTTATTAAAGTATGTGAACAGTTAAAATTCCAACATGCGTATATGTTAGTAACAATAAATAAATAATGTAGAGCGATAAATAATGCGGAGCAGCCGTGAACGTGCTCTTTCGAAGTATATAAGCGTTAAATATTGCATGCAGTCAACTTCAGCAATGGGACGTGCTACTAAGACGAGCTCTCAAATTAATGATACAATATGGTATGATAGTAGTCATTAAAGTCCTCAATGTATCGTCACTCACATAATCATTATCAAAACTATCATTAATATACTTATATATCTTCAGAGCGTAATGATTAGAGTAAATGAATACTTACTTTGGTCGTAGTACATTTGGTGGTAAGACAAGTTCGCAGCGTTGTCGCAGTATTCCAGCCCAAAGTTGAACGCCGACTATTCCGAATATGAAGAAGACGAAGAAACAGAGAAGTAACACATTGCCTAGCATTGGTAATGTGTCCAACAGTAACATTACCAAGATTCTCATACCTGTCAACATAAATTGAAATTAATTTTTATTTTGCATTGCATTCACACATCTAAGTAATACACTGTTTTCTTCTTATTGGATAAATTAGTGTTGTTCTGCATTTCAATTATTTTGTTTACACTGGTTGTTGCGTTTGAAACTGTAGCCTCTTTTAAAAGATTTAACTACTTTGGGTACTGTGTTTTGTATTATGTTTCAATTCTTACTATATTGATAATCATTTGGTGAAACCTTGAATCGTTGTAAAATTAAAAAGAATTTTCAAGGTTGTACTAAAATACATATAAACTAAATATAGCACAAAAACGTATCTTTTTGTGTACTGTAGCAGGTCGTAAAAATACACAGAAAAAGGTAATGAATTGCATGAGGTCAAATTACGACAGATGTATGCGCAAACCACAGAGCGTGGAGCAATTTAATTTGTGGAGGTTGCATTTTCAGTGTTATTTACATGTCCCTGTCGAGATTTTCACGAATTTTCAGCGCGGTTGTCTTTTGTTCGAATACTGGAATTAATATCGGAATGGCAGGAGCGCATGATTTGGTAAAGATTGACTTATTGTGGTTTACATCGAGTCAAAAGGAAAAGTTTTTGTGTAATTGTATATTTAAGTTAAAAATATTAAAAACCCTAATTGGTTTGCATGGAGTTTGATCTTTATCTTACGACATAATATTGGTTTGCTCGACTCAAAATTGCTTACCAAGATTTACAAACATTACTCAATTAAAAAAAAAGGTTTTTTATGTTATTGTAATACTATTTTAATGAAAAATAACGATCGATGTATAGTAATCCATTTTACCTATTCCTAATGACTTTCAATTAATTCGACGACAAATATAAACCAAAATTTCGTTTTATTTTAAATGTATAAACAAACCGTAGGAAAAAGCGTATGCTGGTGTATACAAGCACGTAACAACTCGAACGATCTGTCGCTACGATTACGTATTTCAATTTGGTTGGGATTTCAAGCTCGGTTTAGTTAAAATTCAAACTCTCAAATCAATTTTGTCGTAATACTGTCTGAGGGTCGGAGTGTTTGTCAGAGGCCGCGGCGTACTTGTTGCGCCGATCGATCTCGCCCCCGCCCGCCTTCAATCCACGCTCCGGGTTCATTTCTAAAAGTACCTCGGCTATATGAGCTATTTCAACGGAAAATTCTTTTATAATATGCTCATAGGACAAACGGCTTACGTAATAATGTAGAAAAATTGCTGTATTCAGATTTTTGTGCTGCACTAAGATTTTTGTAGGGTTTATTGTATTTTAAAGCTTTGTATTACTTGAACAAAATAGTCATCTTCCATTGCTGTACAATGATTTATGTATTAAGTCATTATCATCTGTTTACTATAGGTCGCTCTGACATTAGAGTCAGGGTTGACTAGGCCATAGTCAATTATGCAAGCTCAGTGCGGGTTGGTTGACTTAATGTTTTAAGTGTTATAACGTTCATTTGTTTACTTTCCTATTGATTAATACTTACTCGGTATCCGATTGATAGCTCTCAGTGGTCGTAGTACTCTTATAGTTCTTATGGCAGAAAAATTTATGTTTTCCACATTCAATGTGTATTCCACAGCCCTGGACAAAACATAGAAAAATTCCGTTGTAATTGGAAACTCAAATTGTAATACGAAAACTGGAATTTTAAGTTAAAATCCTATCTTAATAGAACCACAAAAACTTACCCCGCCATCACTATAAAGAAATCGAGCCGGTTCCAGGAATCGGCTAAGTATGTGCCATGACCGTACACCCCCATCGCGACCATTTTAATTGTCATTTCCAGTGTGAAGAAAGCAAATATAATATCGTCGAAGACCTGATAAAAATAAAAAAATAAATATTTTAAGAAAAAAATCTGTTTACAAATCTGGTTACTTATTATCAATAAATGGATTGGTACTGGCGAAAAAGAAATTCCAAGGTTTTATAAGACATTGTTACCTGTAATATTTTGCATCTGTTGGTGACGCACTGGTCGTCGACGCATGGCTGGTACATACCCAGCGTGACGCAGTTCAGTAGGATCACCAGCATTGATATTCGCTCGAACCATGTGTTATGAGAATTAAGGAAAATTACAAATACGGCAAGGATCTATATGTAAATATATTAAAATACCTGTCGCCCGCGACTCCGTCCGCGTGGATATATAAAAAAAAATAGTGTAGTCTATGTGTTCTTTCAGACTATGTTCTATACGTATGCCAAATTTAATCGAGATCCGTTCAGCCGTTCTATTATAGATATCATCAAACACCCATCCAATGCAAGTTTGCATCCATCAGTTGCAATTTTAGGAACCCCGCGGTCTATTGAAGTACAAATCCTGCTTCCAAAGAGATGATTGATTTCAAAAAGATGAAACAGAAGCCACGAATGCTAAAACAACCGTAATTTCAGATTTAATTTCATATACAGCAATTGAAACACGTGTAGTAAAATTAGCTATGAATTTTAGTGAACAGTAAAATACTACTTGAAACATGGCCAGCGAAGTTATAATGAATTGGCCAATTGTATTTGCAAAATTCAATGACCGTGCAGAATGTTGTTTTGATGTAGTTTTCTAAATAATTCAGAGCTATTAATAACCAGCTGTTGTATTAATGAGCAAACTCTTTGGAGACCCTAATCAGGAACAATATTGTACACTTTATGCATTAGAAGTTCCGTCTGTTTTCAATACTTGCAATAATCAAAGACCATTGCTAGCTTTTCATATATAATATTTATTATTTTACTTTAATTATCTTGCAAATAGCTGAACCCCGCCTGGAAAAAAATCCCAAGCAAATAACAATATTTGATATATATACGATGATGAATCTTTGCAACTCTTTAATAAAATTCATTCGATGCGTTAGTAAAAATAATGTTACGACTTGTCCGTATTCAAAATACTGTTATACTAATATAAAAAGAATGGAACATTTGTTGTTAATAAAATACCAGAGACATAGAAGATGGGGGCAATTAAATAAAATAATAGCTTTCAACTTTAGTCGTGGCCCGGCGCACCATAAAATGATCGTAAAAGTTCTGGACTAACAAAACGCGATACAATACTATTGATTTTATAAAAGGAAATAAATTATAATTTCATTAATATATTTAAAAAAAAAAAAGGAAATAAAATACCTAAAATTAAATTACCTAAATTACATGAAAAGAAATATAAGAAAGTTTAAATAACGGCACAGTCAGTTGGGTCTTTTTAACGCTTTTAACGACAAAAATTAGGTTCTCATGTAAGGTTGAACCTTAACTTTTTTTGTGTAGCCTCCTTTCCATTTAGTCTAATGATCCGTAAAATCCATTCCCACGCCCACCTACGACCCTTGTAACACCCCGTAATTTGAAGCAAGAAAATAAAGCCGAATACGTATTTTTACCGACAAACTTTTTCTTTATCAGAAGGTACGTGATTAAATAAAAATCTTAAGAAAACTCCTTCTTTTTTTAATCTATTGTAATGTAGATGTCTTATGTCTTCATCTACTAAACTTATAATAAAATAGCTATCGCCCGCGACTCCGTCCGCCCTGAGTTAAAAAAAAATTTAGTAGCCTATGTGTTCTTCCGGATTATGTTCTAGATTTAAACCAATTTCATCGATATCCGTTCAGCCGTTTTGGAGATACCTTCAAACATCCATCCATCCATCCAAACATTCGCATTTACAATATTAGTAAGGATAAGGTTGAACGTTCTTATATCTACTTGTGAGTTTCCAATGTATTTTGTCGCGATCCTTGAATCGTATTAAAGATAGCAACGTTTTAGCTTTTGTTTGAAGAGACTGCAAAGGCTTGTTTGAATTATTAAAGTGGACAGACGTATGCGAGCATCAGATCTGTATTAGAATATTTTCCGTTCCGTTCTTTTGTATCAAAAGTTAAATGGAAACGGCTTTCTAAAATAATTGCAATCGTTGCGGAAACAAAGAGATGAATGAATATGTTTATTTCTGTATCTTTTTACGTTCGCATGTGTGATTCGTTTAATTTTTTTAGTTTTTGCTTTTTTAATTGAATAAAAAATAACTGTATCTCAATTAGTTAAACCAGATTTAATTATGCACCCCATGTCTTTCGACATAGAGTTTTCGTTGTACTAAAGAGGTGGCATAGTGGCGACAAAGACCTTTGCCTTTTTAGTAAAGGAAAAATATAATTCTTAAACAGTAGTGAACAGCGAGATGTAGTGACGATTAGTGTTTGATAGAATTATTATGTAAATAGCTTTATTATAAGTATTGTAACAACGAAATAAATGCATTGTGACTGCCGTGTTGCTATTATAATTTAATACTTTCGAAAAATGTATAGATTCAAAGTATTCCTAAATTGTTTACCGATGTTTTTAACATTTATAAATTGTACAACATTTGTAATTTTCTGCCGAATAGAATTATTTCTTTGAGAAGGCTTGCGATAACGGTGATTTCAAATCATAGAATCGCTTTTTCCTTTAATATTTCGCTCTTCACAAAAGACTGGCGTTTTTAAATTAATTTTGTTCTGATAGAAATGAAACTGAACACCCCGATGCTTTTTACAATTCCATTATTTTCAATGATGGTACAAGACTTTTATAAATATGATAAATTCTTTAATCAAGATTTTATTATACATACAAATATCAAAATTGTATGTAGGTTACCCGTGTAATAATTTTTTTACGTTTTCCTTACGATCTAAATTGAACATTGGTTTTAAAAAATAAAGGATATTTCTATTTGCTATAAATCAAGCTCAGATTTCCAAATGAACTGTATTGCGAACTGTTTGTATTTGTTTCTATTTTTGGTAAAACTTAAGAGAACATTTCCATGCAATTTCTTTGACTTTAAATATTACATGACTTGATATATAGCTACAATTAAACGTTAGTTTTAATGCGATTTGAACTCGACTTCGATAAAGCATAAATTTCCCTTTGATCACTAAAAATCCTTCGACTCGTCTACTCACAAGTTTCTTTGTTCCCTTTAATGTCTATTTTACTACAGACCGATGACGTCATTTGTGACGTATTACTGACCGAAAAGGATGATGATGGATACGTAAATAAATTTAATAAATCAGAAAAGCAAAGTCCCATTCGTTAAACCTCAAAAAGCTTAAGGTATCTGAAAATCTTACTAATATTATAAATGCGAATGTTAAGATGGATGGATTGATGTTTTTTAAGGTATCTTCAGAACGGCTGAACGTATCTCGATGAAATTTGGCATACATAGGCTACTTATTAAGCATTTTTTTAATCTTGCTTAGACGGAGTCGAGGGCGATAGCTATTATAGTATTGAAATATAATAAATAAGTAATATTTTTTCTATATCGTGCATAACATCGACCACATTAGCGTTTGTATTATTCAGTTCCACTTATTGACGATGAACCAAACGATATAAATTATGCAGATGGCTTATTTTAAAGTACACTTTGAACTCGCATCGCAGTTTTAAATAAAAGATGCAGTGTTTCAATTCGATCAGCAAAATACAATTTAAATAAAAAAGGAAAAACAGTCTCTTTGTACGAATAATGTACACGTATAAGTAATCTACGGTAAAATAAATATTTCCAGTGATCGGGTTCGTTACACTTCTAAATGTTTTACAGCTTGTAAAAAACAGTTGATAATATTTTTTTACGGAGTTGTTAAAACTAAGCAAATTGAATAATATATTTATTTATGCACTTAAAGTTCTAATTTAGTTCTTACGTACCTATTTGCAAGCATGATAACTTTAAATTTTTTATTATTTTAGATTTCATACTAGGACACAATGACATAAATTATTTATGAATGCTAAAAGACACTAAATAAATCTACATATGAGCCTAACTAACTAAGCTCTAGGCTTGTGCTAGGATATGGTTTACGACAATAGTCGAATGGCGGGATTCGAACCTCCGAACTCGTGATCGTAAATCCGTACCCTTAATCATTAGACGATTGACGCTTATTAAAAAAATTTTGTTTTACCGGTAATTAAAATATCTCTTTCCTACGTAATTTTAAAAGAAATGTCTTTGTTATATCTTTCCTATTTATAAAATCAATAAGCAAGCCAGAGAGGGTCCCTCGACATTTCATTTCTCAATGTTTCCGAGCGTCTTTTATGTCAACGTTTAGAGAAAAAAAAATAATTAATAATGGGAATTCTCGGAGATTTTAAGTGATATCGTTTTCTTACTTTACTGATGACTAAGAAAAAATAAAATATGCTTGATCGTAACAGAATTCTGGAATGCGTGCTTTTAAAAACACATTTAAGACCTTCAAGAAACATGCGTGTCCTGTTTTAAATTAATTAGTATAACAATGTAATTCATTAGCGATAAACGCATTTACTATAAACAAAGTTCAAACGTTCAGATTTAAATTATACGTAAATAACTCTTGTAGTTTTTACGACATTCTTTGCTTTTTGTCCTTTTTATTATTGTAGACCAGTTGTTAGGGTCTGGGCTGTTGTTGAAATAAAATAAAAACAAAAGTTATGTTTTAAAATTTTACGGTTCCTTTTGAATGTTTTCAATAGGTATAAATATAATTAACGGTACCAAAATCTTTTGTTGCCAACTGATGTCCGGCGAAATATGGGTTTACAGTCAAAGGTGCGTTTAAAGTCAGTTTTTTCTTTACTAGTAATTTTTAAGAAAGTCATGCAAGTAAATGTGAAGCCAGTTTTATCAAGGAATTCCCTAGGTGATTGTGAGACTAAATTAATTTGTTAATGAACCTAACCCCGGGATGCGTCGCACACGTGACGTAACGACTCCCCTGGGACTTACACGAGCTTTCTAAGTTTCTTTATTGAAAGGAAGTTTTGTAATTAAGCAAACTAATTTGACGTACTAACATATTAAATGTTCAGATTGATATATAGCGAATTTAAGAGCTGAGAAAGCTAGAATAAAAGAAATAAACTAGAATGTTCTGCAAAGATAATCTCACCATTAATGTATTTTAGGTGCAACTGATTCTCAAATTTCTTAACTGAATTCCTACAAAACTGTAGATAAAAACGAATTGGTTTAAG